TTTGTTGGTTGTTTGTTGCAAGTTTTTTCCATCAGTTATTAAATGCTAAGTCAAGCTATTTTGACACCAAATATTTTTATAAAGTATTTGCAAGATTAAGCTATAACACTGTGACCTTAATGATGCTCTTAATGTAAGTTTGAAGTAAATGTGAAAGAACGTGAATTTATGTAGCTAATAAGAATCTAAATCTCAAACTATTAATCCATGTGGTTAAAAATTAACATGTAAAGTAGATAAAATAAGATATGCATATATTTTGAACTTTTGAACTTTTCCTCAGGAAGTTGTTTACTACTCTGCAACCATTCAACCTGCCTACTTTACGTGTAAATAAGAGAAAGAAAGTAAAAACTTTAAAGAAAAAAAAAAAAGGAGAGGGAGTTGAAATTAATAATGGAAGCTATTCTGCCTGTTGATTCTGCCTTTTTTTGATTAAATAAATTTATTTGTGGCTCAGTAATAATTCTATCATCTCTGTGAAGTCTTACAGAACAAGCCAGTGTTATATTAAGGGCAAGTCAGCACACATACATAGACTTCCTGGTACAAAAATCTCAGAACACTAGGATCAGGGTAAAGTAAGGTTTACTTCCTAAGGCAAGTGTGTTGCAAAACTTGCCCAAAGCTAAGTCTCCTAGTTAAACAATATTTTCATGGATACATGAAAATACCCACCAGTTGACTGAGGAGCGGTCATCTCAGACCAGGTCTTTCCTGCAATGTGTGCATACAGGCGTATTAATGTTTATGTACATGTTAGAAGGAATTGTCTAGCAGAAGAAATGCTAACAATGTCCATCTCCTTCTACTTTGGTTAGTGAAAAAGAGGTGCTATCCCAGCCTGTCTTTTCCTATTCTGTTTGGCCTGTGCTGAATAGAGTCTGGAAGAAGCATATGGATGTGGGGGAAAAAAAGAAAACAATTATATTCTTTATAATTAAAGGTAGACTCTATTAGGAAATAATGAAAAAGAAGGTTATGCTTTAAGGTAAAAAGCTGCTAGTGGAAGAACTGAGCTCACACAAGTTTCTTTGATCTTTTGCCTCTAAGTGAAGTTACTGATATGCAGCAATTCAACACATGAAAAAACCTCTACTGATTAAATTATTTGATGTTTTACAAAAGATAATTTTTGTTTAAAAAGCTTTTAAAAGCTGACATCACAACCTCTTTAGCATCAACTCCTGTCAATATAGCACTGGAGGAATATTTGATCTACAGTCAAACTTGCTGGTTCATGAAATCAAGGTCTGTGCATAATGGCATCGCCACCCATGACCCCCTATTTAACGATTGTCTACTGTAAGAAACCTGAGCCATTACAACTACTTGGAATAGTCTGATTCATCTTGTTTGTCGTGATACCACAGGTGGTACTGAGGCAGAAAAGGTGGAAAGTATCCTGAAACATCTATGAATATACAGGAAAAAAAGCATTTTTTCCTCATCTTTTCTTGCCAGGCATTAGAGAACACTCAATTTTAAAAATAAATTTCTAAATGAATTATCAAATTTCTATATTTCTTTTAGAAAAAAACAAAGAGGTTTCACTTCCTGTAATGGGACACCACCTTCTGGGAGACTGTAGGATCTAACACTGAAGTCCTACAGACATCACTGTGTTCTGTGACTGCTTCTGTCCTATGCAACAAAACTGTAACCTGACTAACCACTGATATGGCTGATGCATATGGAAAGGAGACTCACTTCTCTATAAATTATCTCAATAACTTCCTTTTGCTATCAAACTAATAATTTGATTTGGCTGCCTGTTGTATTAATTTTCTGATTGAGTCATTTGAACTTATTGATTCAAATTTAATTATAACATTAGCTTGATGTTTACATTGTTTAATTAGCTCAAAGAAAGTTTAGTAAATTTGCATAATAAAAAGCTTACTGAAGATACATTTTTTTCCTCGTGTTTTCATATGAAACTGGCCATTCTGCCAACTTACCATAGTGTTAAAAGTCTAAAGGCAGAAAGAACCTCAGTTAAAAATACTGGAAATGACACATTTTTGCTTACTAGCTACTGTCTAGTCTTGTTATACTGGCAAAAAACAAATGCCAGCTCCATTACCCATTTCTGTTCCTCATCAAGACAGCTCTGAAAGCTGGTTAAACATTTAATTTAAAAACAGATAACAAGTCTGATATTTCTTCTATGATAATTTTCGTTTCTTTCACACTGAATCCTTGACAGTATTTTTTTTCATTTAAAATTTGTAAGGAAATGGGAATGGGGGACCATTTTTTGCCATGGTTTTATCCATGCTTTCACTATTAGTCTTGTGAAGACATGAAGGAAACCAAGATCTCCAGATAAGTGAATTGCCTAAGCAAAAGCACACTTTAGAGACAGAAACTATTTTTTTGTTTATATGAGAACAGTATTTTCTTCAGTTAGGTCAATGAATGGGAACAACAAAATCAGAAGGAATTAGTTGCCTAAACGACATGTGTCCATTGTCAGATTTACTTTATATTCTGTTTGGTCTTTCTAAACAACAGGGACATTATTTTTAAAACCTTTATATCCCAGATGAGCAATATACCAAAGGCAGAAATATCCAAGAGGGCTCATAGTCGGATACATGCATGAGAAAGACATGAAAATATGTTCTCTATAAAAGCATAAAAGAACTTCACTTGACTTGCACGACTTTTTGTATCAAGCATGCTACAGCAGTCTTTTGATTCTAATATGAAACTATAGTAAGGATCATTGCACTAATGCATGAGGATTTGTGATAATGTTGCAGAAATTTTACTGTCAAAACTGAACTGCAGTGTAATGGCTTTTGTTATCATGGTTTCTAATAACTATTCAGCATGAATTGACCCTACATATGTTTTACTGCAATATGTCAGTTATCCAGAAAGTAAAAGAAGAAACAGAAATCAATAGGCCCCTCCCCCCAAACTCTTACGATAATGTGACCACCTGAAGATAGCAGTTCATGAATACGAGAATGAATATTTGACTTACATTTTAAACCAATTATATTTTGCACAGAGACTATTTTTAAATAGAAGTTATGTGAACAAAAACAATTACCAAAGTTTTGTAAGACTGTGCCACTTGCAGTGTTAAGGACAGATTCAAGTAAATAGGTTCTTAACATATAATGACATCTCATACCTTTATATGCAGGAATCAACTCTAATTTCATTATGAGAACAGTAATTTGGCAGGAGGGTTGGACTAGATGACCTTTAGAGGTCCCTTCCAACCCAAACTATTCTATGATTCTATGGTAACAAATACCTATGTCTACAGTACAATCATTGACATGTTAGCACAATACATTGGAAGTATCAAATTTTACTCATGGAATAGATATTCTAAGATTGTTCAGTACAAAAAGAAAGATATGGTAAATAATTAGATTTGGATTTCATGCATAATCATATTCCTGGTGCTAATATGCTAGCCCACTGAGATTTCCGGAAGAAAATGCTGTTACATATTTGCAGGGCAGAAGCTGTATTAGGCAAGATTTTGTTACTGAAAGTCCACCTCATAAAGACAAACCTACAAATTTTTTACACACAAGATTTTGCCACATCAAAATATGCATATAAAAACAAATAATCTATCAGCATTATAAAAAAAAATGTAACTGTTCTCGAAAGCAAATGTTTAGGGAAAATATTAGGTACTAAATAGAATGTATTTAAAGATAATGTCAAGATCCACCAGAGTTTGTTCCAATGTCATCTAGAAAAAATGTAAATGTGTGATTCATGCTATAATGAAGCTAGCACATCCAGCATGACAGACATGCCATTGGTCAGTGGAACATATATATGAGGGAAACCAAATTAAAGAATGTCTTTGTGGAGGGAAGCATCTTTCTCAAAGAGAGTAAGCTAACAGACAATAAGAGTATCAGACTGCACTGATATTTGATTAAATTAAACATTAGGATAAATATAAATGCTTTGTGGTAGTGATTATATATATAATAAAGTGTCTTTGCAGACAGAAAAAATATTTTAGTTTTTGTTAATGAAACTCAATATTATGTATTTATGTTCTGACCAGCAGCTATCAAAAAATATGACACTTTTTAAAAATATGAAATTAATTAGGTAAGCAAAACATCATCTCAAAGTCATATAGCCATTACATCTCTACAGTCATTTGAAATCTCTGCAAAATAGTGTCTGGAGATAGGATTACAAATGAACATTAGCAGATTCTAAAGTCTTTGGCACACAATAAGAATATGGTTTAAAAACCTTCAAATGCTTGAAAGTGATTTAAAAAATTATACTAATTCAAAGGAACATAATGCTAGCTCAGAATTTTTTAAATATCTGCATTTAGGAGTTTAGTTTTCAAACACACTAGAGTGAATATCCCCCTTTAAGCTTGACTTGCTTGTTTTTCATAACACAAAACCCGATGGCTCCAAACATTCTTGCAGAGAAAAGGAATATTGAAAAAATGAACATCAGCACTGTAAATATGAATGAAGCCAGAAAAGTTTTCTCACATGCATGATATTGTGCTTATACGTACCACAACACATGTCTGAAATGCTTGTCTTTAAGAACCAAGGTCTTCTGGTTTATACCAGAAGCAAAGAAAATATCTGAGGTTACAATTTGACAAATAGACTTTTAATGGAACATACACACTATAAAATACAAAATATAAAATATAAAACTTACTGTAGCTTTTCCTTTTTTTTTTAATTTTGATGAAAGCAGTGAAATCATCACCCTTACATTTGTCATATTATGTATTTCTTTCTACTTCACAGAAAGTTTATTCTCTATTTAGATCACTTAATCTAAGTTCCTCCCTACAGCAGGACACTACCAACAATCAAGAGTGCTGCTTTCTTCTGACCACCCACTTCTGTCATTTTTCTATTTATAGAGTTTTTGCCCTCCCTGTACATTCTCTGATACTTCCTTTGGCATTCACTCTTCCCTACGCAGATTTCCCTCTCTTCTATGAAGCTTCTTCCTCTTGTCCTTACCCCCTCCACTCCCCTTTTCCTCTTTGTTCTTCAGGGTAGTTCTCATTCTTCCCCACAGAGTCTCCTGGGACTCTTTTTTTAATCTCCTCTGGTTTCTGATCCTTGAGAGTTCATTGGAATCACTTTTTGAAACATCTTACACAAAAAAGTACTTTAGAAACTTCAACTCTTCTTAGTTAAAGCAGAGATCCTTACCTGGCTTTTTGATTTCAGAAGCTTAACAAAAACATAAAATCTCACGGAATTAGTTAAAAATGAAGAATTTATAATATAATAATTGGACAGAGTTAAGAAGACAAAAGCAGAAGTAGAATTATACACACACACAAAAGCATCATACTACCAGTGCTGTAGAGTAACTCTTCATTAATCACAGGAATTTATGAAAGCAAGGATGCTTTTCTCATTCACAGTAAACCCGAAACTTGCATGTGTATTATCCACCAGGCTACTATCTGTTATAGCATGCTACGATCTCCTTAAAAATCCAGAGGAAAAGTTACCAACATCCAGAAAATGTCAGTGGGAGAGGAAATCCTCTTCTCATCCACCTCATATGTATAGCGATAGGAAGAAAACACATCTCCTTGTAAGAGCATGCTTTTGCATTCCATATGAAGAAGAGGGTATTATGCTTTTTATGGGTATAGCCCCTCTATTCAGCAATGTATATCCTCTCCACTCAATAAGGGCACCTTCCTCTGCAAAGAAGCTTACAAAGTCATGACAAAACACTTCATTTTACCAAACCATTATTTCAGCCATCATCAAGATAGAGCCTTTTCAGCGGCTGAACAAAGCAGCTACTTAGGAGCCCAAGGCAAACCTACTTCATTAGTTAGAGCAGTTACTATATCCAGTTAAAATTAAGGCAAAAGAAAAAAAAGGCAATTTGCCTTTTACATTAGCATTTGTAAAAATTGGCTCCTAATTTTGAGTAATTATATATATAGGGAAGAAAATTCTCAGGATTTAGGTAAGGATGAACACACTTTCTTCTTCTCGAATGTTCATGTCACTGTAATGCATATATATAGCACAGCACCTAGAAAAATCATTATTTTGACACTCCTCCAGAATTGATTTTCTGTTGCAGTTGTAATTCGCTTATTAGCAAAAACCTAAGAAGAAAATATAGCTTCTTTTTATAGGAGCTGTATGTAATCAACATATTTTTTCCTTTTGCCATAATTTCTAAATACTTTCTTTATGTGATAATGGTAGAAATATTTTGTTTCAATAGTTGGACTAGTTATTCGTTTAACAAAGTGAAGAGTTATCAAAAAGCAAAATAGATTAGTTGTCTCTGTAATCCTCAAATTAATATTGTGAATAGAATTTCTCTTCTCCATACACATACTGCTGCTGAATGGCACAGAGGACTGTCAGAAATTCTAAACGTTGCCATCAATAATTTCTAACACAAGCTAGGTATATGTATTGTAATGCTGACTATAAGCTCCTATAGAATAGCAACATACTCATAACCATTTTCTTCTTTAACAAGATTTTTAAAAGCCAAACAAATGATTATATAGCACTGCTGATGAAACTAGGTCCTGTTGGTATTGCATTGCTATTTTGCTATATTTTACTATGTTTATTTTATTGTATTCAAATTGAGAAGGAAAAAAACAATAATATATGCCAACTCATTTGCAATTTTCTGCGCTTCCAGACTACATCACTGAGATGCATGATAATATCATCCATACTGTGTCCAGAAGAGGTAAACTGTTAAGCGGGAAATCTGTTTCACAAATATTACCAAGAACTATTGAATTCTGAGAATGTAGAAGACTGATTTCTTACATCCAAAGAAATAAGAGGTCCAGATGATAAATAAATATTATTATAAATAAATAGATATATTCTTCTGTAGAGAGGTTTGAAGAGAGTATGCCCTAATTCTGCATTCAGAAAAAATACTTTAAATTCCTTCTAGAACCCAGTCCTTTTAAGAAAACATTTCAACACTCATAGCATTGCCTCTGATATCATATCGACAGAAAATAATTGACGCTCATTTGATGAAGAAAGATAGGCAATAATTTTTTCTACTTTTTATGTTTTGAATCTCTAACTTGTTCTCCAAATATGGTTATCCCTAAGAATATATGACTTAAAAACAGTTTTGTTCTTGAAATATAGAAGGGCTATGTAGTTAACAAGAATATTGTGGAAGGGATTTTCTTATTTATATTTGACAGGAACAAACTGAATACACTGAATTTTAAAATTAGAGATTAACTGAGGTAGTATATGAGGAAATGATCAATGGATGAAGATATGGGTATAAGACATAAAAGGGATTGATAGGAATAAAGTACTAGCAAATAATCTGAATTTCACATCTAATTTATTTATTTGAAGTCTTCTACACCATACTTTTAGAGAACGGACTGAAATATCAATATATCGGGACCTGGTTCCTGCATAAATGACCTAAGTTGATAAGGGTTCTTACCTGAAATTTGTTGATGTGAATGTAAGGTCTGTGAACATGACAACTTAAATGCGTATTAATTTTCAGAAATATAGACATGAAAGGCAAGCAAGAAATAGCCTGACTAAAATATCTGAACAATATTTAATTGATTATAGTTGGTACTGATAGGCTTGTATTTTGAGAGCTATCTGTAAATACAAAGGAAAGAAACAGAAAAGACTTTTTCTGTGAACTGGCATTACATTTCCACAACAAAGTTTTACAACATCACTTGACTCAGGTTCCACAGGTTTCACTGTTATATCTAAAAAAAAAAAAAAATCTATCCTTTTAAATGTAACTAATTAGTCAAAATATTACACCTGGCCACTATACCTCCATCACGGAAGTTCTTCAAACTAGATTTTACCTTTTTTTGTTTTCATTTGACTGTTTTCTAAATTAAAGGTTTACAGAGTCTGACAGTAGCTATTGTAAAACTCACAATTTCCAGAAAAAGTGTTTTATGGAGCATGGTAAGGTACCTTTTAATTACTGCACAATATATTTATATACAAATATAAATACATATCAGGTGCAAAAGTGGAATTCGTGAATAATGAATTTTGAATCCTTACATGAACTGCCCTGTAAAAATTAAAAAAAAAAGCAAGCAAGCAAAAACATGAAAATACAGAAAGTGTGAAATAGCCAAGAAGAAAATAAGAATTCAGGTGATAGGTATTGCTAGCAAGTATTCTATTGTTATTAAGTAGCTGCATTAATCAAATGAATTTTAGAGATGAGATAAATGAATTGAATGAGTGATATTAGCACTTTACCTGCTGATGATCTGTAACGGCAGCTTCCACCCTGATTCTATTGTCATAACATTCTGTGAGGTCTTCTTTACTGTTTAAGTAGTAGTTCTGAAAGATTTTATATTCTTGAGCTAACCATCAATTTTCTTTAATGATTTACTCCAGAGCAGCCTAAAAAGAAAAGTAATTCATTACACTTACTGTAAAATACCTTTCTAAAAAATAAAATTATAGGTCACTTCCACAATTTCCCTGACTCATTCACTTATGAACATCTGCAAAATATAGATGACAAGATTATGGTCTCAGTGAAACAAGTGGAAAAACTGCAAATGAATTTCAAGTGGTTATGATTTTGCTGAATATATTTATACTGAAGTAAATATTATTAATAAATTATTTGTACAGAAAATGATGTTGTATATAGTTCCAGTAGAAACTACTAAAAAGAACACATTATCTACCTTACTACATAAGACCTTTCTGCATAGAAATTATCTTTTTTTAATTGCCAGAGAATACTTCAAATTCTTCACCCACATTTTACTTTTCAAAACTCTCATTTTCCAACTTATTTGTAAAACTGACACAATGCAACACTCACGTATTTTCTTAATAATTTTAATGTTTCCAATTTGATTAACTTGATTTTAAAGACTAATATAATTTTTGACTCTCATAGTTTGCTACCAGGTGAAGTTGAGGTTGTTTGGAATATATGCTTCTGTAATATGAAAAATTTCCATTCCTTTAAATCTGATTTTGACTGAACTTCCTTAGATTATAATACATAATCTTGCAACAGTCACACAATTTTCTAAGGTATTTTATCTATGTTACAAAGATACAATCTGATTTAATTTTTAAATTGATTTTTGACAGGAATTCTATTTTCATTTTCATTATTTTTCCATTAAAAAGCACTTGGGGAAGGAGCCCAGGTAGGTAGACTTTTACCAATAGAGTTAGCTGAATATTGAAATTTCAGAGACTTTTGACATTCAGAATTTCTTTTAATTTCATAACTATAGAACAGGATGGCTGATTTCCACATTTCAAAATATTACTTCAAATATGTTTTAAATGTACATCTTTAAAATACATTTTTAAAACATCATGGCTAGTGATGACAGTGCTACCCAGTAGAGAGGAGAGAGGCACAAAAAAACCCCAACGAGCAAGTCTGAAACTTACTAAATTTACATATGTTGTTGCCTGTTGTATTTGGGTTCTGTTGTGTATTCTGTTAAAAAGTGCGTGCACATTATAAACTGTAGTGGAGGAGAGTTTACAATTATGAGAGTGTGTAGAAGCCTGGGCCAACTAATTAAGCCCAAATGTCCATGTGATGAGTGGCTGCCCTAATCTAAGGCCACATTTCAAAGTCTTCTAATGCAAAAGCTATAGTCTAAAAGCTTTTAAAGGTAGAAGAGTCTGCTTAAGAATCTAGTTTATACAAGAGGACTATTTGTAATCCCATGTGCTGCGGGTACCCTTGCAGAAAGGCAGAGCTAGCAGAACGGCTAGAGCAGCTGGGGCAAACGTTGCCATCGGCTGCTCCCTGGATGAAGCTTGTCGACCCGGCAGGAGTGAGGGCAGCCCTCTGACTTGACAGTCCCAAATTGTGAGTGAAATGCTACCACAGGAGGTGGGGAGCAACCACCTGTCCTAGTAGTTGCCTCACCAAAATCCAAAGAAAGGAATCGTAAATAATTTTTGTTTTATTTTTGAGAGAAGAATATTACATGTTCTTCCGTTTACCTCCCTGCTGCTCTTCTCCCCTTCAACAGACTACTTTTTAAGTCAAAAAATGCGTGTCCGAGGTAGGAAAAATATATTTTGAGCATAAAGGAATTTAGATTCATTTTCCCAGGTCACCGGTTGAAGGTTCAAGCCAACATTTATATGTGAATTCTGAAAGAACCAGACCCTGCTGCTGCTAGTTCAAGCTCTGTTTGGAAGGGCAACATAAATACATGTTGGGAACACTTCTGAAACAACAAACGTTTTAGCCCTGTATCATAGCTACAAGTTTGCCCAGAACCCAGGAGGGCTAGGGAACTTTGGTAAAATTCAAACCTTTCTTTAGTATCTCCTGTCTCTCTCAAAAAATCCTGTGAATTAGTGGACTAATAAAGTCTAAGTTCTTCTGGGGTCACCATGATAATGTTGAAGAATCCATATGTTTTCTGAATCTGTTCCCAAGTGGGTAATTTAGATTCTCACCTTTTAAAGACAAAACTATCCCAGGGAAATAGTAGCATGCCTGAACAGGTTCCTAGCCATCCCTTGGAGCGACTTGAATTTTGGGAGTTCCCAAGACAGTTAGCATATTAATGGTGATTTTACTCCTTTTTCTATGCGATGTCTTAATCAAGATATATCCATTTTTGTATTTGTATTTACATGTAATTTCTGAAAACTTTGGCTAGAAACTTGCTGTGGTTATGCACTAGAATAAAAAAATTCTTCCTGTACGGAACCGTCACTCTCTACATCATTACAATATTAAAATGCTATGTGTCTTTCAGAAATCTCAAAGTAATAAAAAGAAAGATGTAGAATTTAGTGAAGAAGATGTGATTATCTCCTTTATTATTCTTTGGGTAGAGGTAAAACCTGTGTTTCAGGCTGATACCTTCCTTAACAAACATACAATGCTTGATGATAATATGTTAGCATTCAATACCTGCAAACAAGTAATGTTTTCAGCATTGCAGTACTTTCACATATGTAAGGAATATGGGAAAATGACAGAAAAGTTTGCTTGTAGAATATGAACATCAATATAGTAATTTTCACCAGTATAGATACCTGAGTACAAAACGAGTGAAGTCCTACTATTTTGTATAATTTAAAATGGCCCAGACATTTTGACAAAGAATAACAACATACTAAAGAAAAGAAAATAACCTTCTCCAGTTTTATAAGACTCAGTGGCTATGTCCACATGACCAGTTATACTAGTTGCCCAGTCCCAAAAATTGCTTCACCATACAGCTTATGTCAGCTGAGACAGATAAAGTGAAATGGTTCTTTTTCTCTAATTCACTCCTCTGAAAGATGAGCTGAGGTTCAGAAAGCAAAGAGCGTACATCCTTTAAATACCTGACTGTCACTCATTGATGTTTCTACAGAGGATTTCCCAGAATGTAGGCAAGAAAAAAAAAGTCTTTAAGAGCATTTTATCTTTATGAAAGAGACGAACGGTCAAACTCTGAGCAAACTCGGCATGCCAGAATATACACTAGAATATACACTACGCCTCTTTCTCCAGTTCTAGGAGAACAGGGATATGAATCTTAAAACTGATCGTAAGATGTTTAAGTAGGCAATCCTGAGTTTGTTTTATCTCTGGCACTCAAACTTCTGAATTTGTAGACTGGTGAGCTGATAAAAAGCACCACGATTCATGTGCTTGTTCTTTTGTTCTTCAGCAAAACTTGAAATCAAAGACTTCTGGTACATCAGTCTTTGTCTACAGGTATGTTCGGCTTCTTCAAACATTCTGGAACTGACGTCTGAAATATGGGAAGACATTTTCTACATTTCTACATTCAAATGATGTTGCTTTCTTCAGTGGGAAAAAAGTATAGTTCAGGAGAATTTCTTGAAGGCTTTTACATGAAATGAAACTTGAATTGCAGAGTAGAGAAATCAAGTGAAACTAGGAAAGGCCATATTAAAAACAAATGAAAGAAGATATTTCTTTGCACTATGTGTAGTTAAGGTGTGTGGATTCTTATGAATATCAAAAACTTGCAGAGATTTAAAAGGGACATAGAATTTCTAGGAGGAAATATCCACTGAGGTTTGTTAGATAATAAAAAAAAAAATTGGGGCTCAAGAGATCAGAAAGTCTGGTGATTATTCTGGGGAAGTATTACAACATGCTTGCTCAGTTGTTACACTCTACCTGGACATCTGGTACCAGAGGTGGAATACCGGGCTAGAGGAAATTTCTACCTGATTCAGCACATATACTTTTTCCTCTTTATGTTTCTTATTCAACACAGCAGCCCAGGAAATGTCTCTGTTTTCCTGGAACGGCAGGAAGCTGGAACACTTTTTTGTGTGCTTGCTGAACACATTTGAAGTGCAGTTCCTGTCTGCTATAATACAAATTCATACTGAGATAATAAAATATGTGGAAGCAAGAAAACAAATAAAAACACTAAATGCCCTCCTCAAAACTATCAAGAAATTGTTAGCGCAACGGCTGCTGAACTAGGCAATAGGAAAGCAGATGCAACGCCATGTAATGCAATGATGAATTATCAGTCCAGTACCTCAGACCGTACGGAATTTCTTGTAATAACTAAATTTCAGTCCTTTTAGGATGCAAACAGAGATCACCACTAACCTAGCCGTGACTGTTACAGACAAGCAAGGGATACTTGCTGTCTGCAGCACAGAGAAAATGTGTTTCATGTTATTCTGCCATCCTTTTATGTACACTAATACCAATCACTTTGCGTTGCAAGTGATCCAAGAATTATTTTATGGTTCCATGTTTGTGTGACAAAAGTTTGTAAAGAATTGTAGAGACAAATCTTAGGATCAATGATTTTGTCCACATAATGATATACCTATAAACATGATATAAATCCCTGTGGTTTACCGGGTCAATCATCATTTTGAATGGTCACTCTGACAGCAGTGTTTTATTTGAAAGATAAGAACAATTGATTTTGACAATCAGGTGCATCAGCACAATAAACTAATTATTAAAGGATCTATTTTAATTGGTTATACTACTTAAACTTGATGTTGTGAGGAATGAAATTGGTTTCCCCAGGCAGGAATGACTTTTCTTTTGTTAGGCATAAAGTATCCTGTTCATAATATGAACAGCAAAATAAGAAATAACTTATCTTAAAATTACTGTGTTCATGTGCATCTGCCCCTCCCACTCCATAGAGCTTCCCCAGAGGAGTTTAGCAACGTTTTTCCAGAGGCATCTGTTACACATCATATGTGTCCCTTCCCGGGGCATAAAGAGCATGGTGATACCAAGTGCCACAAAGTCATTCTAATACAGTTGACTGTACAGACCCCCAGCTACAGAAAAGAAAGTTACTGTAAAGCAAGCATGAGGTGTTGGGGTTTTTTCCCCTGTTTGAGGATCGATTGATGCAACTAATGCTTATTAGCAAATAGTTTGGGCTCTA